GCACTTTACACAGCTGACTACTCGCATCTGGAACTCCTGGTTGCCATGACTACTCTTCTGCTCACTCCCTCTCAGCTTTCTTGATGAGTTTTCCTCCGTTTAACCTCTACATTTTGGGCTTCTTCAGGGTTCATTCTTGAGGCTTCTTCTCTTCCTAAGTAATCTCAATGAGTATGTTGACTTCAAATTCCTTTTTGTTACCACTGACTTACAAATTTATACCATCTCCAACTGCCATTTGGTATCTCTACTTAGATGCTAACTGATCTCTCAAATGCAGTGAGGCCAAAACAAACTCTTGATTCTACCCTTTTTCCTGCTCTAATATGCTCCTCCCCTAGTATTCCCATCTGAGAAAATGGTACCACTCAGTTGTTCAAGCCAAATACTGAGGAGGACTCCTTGATTCCTCCTAAACCTTTATCATTCACAATCAGCCATCAGCTCTGCCATTAAGGTCCACTACTAACCGGTCCAGATCTCTTCAGGTCTTGTGCAAACACTTCTAATTAGTCTCCCAGTTTCCTTTCATCTATTTACTACAAAGCAGCCTGAATGAAATTTGTAAAACATAATTCAGATCAGATGATGCCCCTGCTCAGAAACCTCTGTTTGTTTCCTATTATATTTAGAATTCAATCCAAACCCCTTGCTCTAGCATACAAGCCTGCATGATCTGGCTCCCCACCTACCTCTATATGCCTGCTGAACCACTCTCTAGCCGTGTTTGTTCTTGCCGTCATTCCCATCTCAGCTCCTTTGCACTCTCTGTTACCTGTACCTGAGTAATCTTCCCCAGGCTCTCTGTGGCTGGCTCCTCCTCTGAACCTCAGGAAAAAGTACCTTTGCTTGACCTCAGTATAAAACAGCACTCTGCCAAGCTTGAGGTTGCTTCCCATTCTATCCTATTACCTGTTTTATTTTCTTCACTATGCTTACTCCTATCTGAAAATATTTCCTTTATTTATAAGTCTTGTGTTATTGTCTATGCTGCTTACCTAGAATATAAGTTTTCCAAGAGCAGGAATCTTGTGTGTCTTGTGTGATGCTGTCTCTAGCAGCTGGCACCTAACAGCTGCTCAAGACATATGTAAATAAGAGTGAATGAAGCAGTAAAAGTCTAGCACTATTTGGCTCATTTAAATGTTACTCCCTTGGTCTTAGTGAAGTCTAAAAATGAAAATAAAGTAGATGATTTTGTTGGGAAAAGCTCAAAACGCCTTTATGCTCCTTTTTAAATGAGCCTTCCTAATGGGAGATTTGCCATAGGTTGTACCGACCTGGTTTGTGTAGCTTTCTAAAGCAGTTTTTAAGGCTCTGAGATGTGTAAAAAGCACAACAGTACCGCCAGCTGCCTCTACTTCTTTTTTTTCTTAAACTAGCTGCTCACAATTGTATTTTCCACTGTTGGGAAACCCATTCCTAAATATGGAGATATGGAGACCTCTGCTCCTCCCTGGGAACAGCCAGAGCGGATTGTTGAGCTCATCCCTCTGGGGATATACACCAGTTCAGTAATGGCTCAGTTCTCCACCCTCGGCTTCTAGTTATCCTTTTATCAACCCTCCAAAAGGCCCATAAAATAGCCTCCATTTCTCTGTGACTGCAGCATTTTTCATTAGGTTTTGAGTTACAGCCATCTTTTTCTCCATTTGCAGGAAATATCCCAATTCCTTTAAAAGAGCTGCAAAGAGGCTTTAGTTGGTTATTTAGGAAGCCCAGAATGAATCTGATCCAAAAACAGGGCCTAGAAACTACATTTCCTCAGATGGCGTGACTGATGGTTCTGGGGTACCAGGAGGATGGGCAGGGAAGGGCGGGAGGAAGGAAGGGCGCGAGCACTGGGAGGAGGCTGGCTAATGCTGCCCTGTCTGCTGCCTCTCTAGCAATCCTCAGTCACGTGGTTGCCACCCACAGGCAGAGCTTGGGAAACCTTTACTCAACTACCTGCCTGGGCTCCACATGCATCTAGTGGCAAATGCTGAACTTTAATAAAGAAAAGCTAATGGCTTGTCAATGTCAGCTACTATCAAGATGGCTCTGAGTAACCTCCTAAGGAAAAGTACTCATGTCTGGGGCAGGACTTTGAATCTGGTTTTAGGAACTTATAGTGTTTCCCCCTCAGCTTTATGAGCCAAATGGTTTCAATAAAAGTTTCCATGCCCAAAACATCCAAGTTACTCTATCCTTCTGTATCCGTAACAGGATGAGTTAAGGGCAGGAATCACCAATGTGTAACACCCTCACAGTTACCTGATTTTTGAAAGAGTATAACATCATTGGTTAGTCCCAGTATCAATTTTAAGGTTTTTATCCCCATTTGTCAATAGCAGAACAATAGAAATATGGTTATTCTTAGTTCGGGGATAAACTCATTCAACATACATTTATCATAAATGTATACTATATTCCCGATACTGAGCCAGAACACAAGAAGACTGTCCAAAGACAGGGTTCCTTGGGGGTGCACACCCAAGATTGGGGCTGAGGGACAGTAAACAGTGAGGGAGTAAGTACATGTGTACAGAGAGATGCCAACATCACAGAGGCAATAAAAGTGCCGCTCCAAGTCCCCTCATTTCCGGAATACCTGGATTTCCCCTTTCAGCACTTCATCTCCTAGGCCAGGAGCTGTCGGCCTTTCCCGATGCCCTCATCCCCATCCACCTCTGATTTACTCTGTTCGTTCTACTGAAGACCTTTGACTTCACATCACATCCCCATGGCATTTATTTATAGGAGAGGTTGTGGATCATCCAGATGTTGCTGAGTCTCTGTCCAATGGAGGAATAAATAGGAAAATGCTGTTCTTTATTTGCGGGGCTGCTTGGGGTAGTTTGCCTGTAGGACTACTCTTGCCCCTCTACCTTCTGAGATGCTCCACCCCACCCCATGGGAAACACATAGCCTTGTTGCCTAAAGGCTGCGGTGCCACAGGGCTCCCGGGCTCAGCCCCACCATCTCCCCTGTGCCCGGGTCAGCATGGAGTCAGGTCAGTCTGCGGCCTCTCGAGGGAGGGAATGTCGCCCCCCTGTTTTGCAGCACCCCTCTGACTCTATGAGCCACTCTCCCCGAGCACCCCTGCCCTTCCCGGAGAGACCCCTGCGTGGGAGGAAAAGAAAAAAGCCAGAACAGCCTCACGTGCTCCCAAAGCCGGAGCTGACTGCCCCTCCTCCCTCCCTCATCCTCCTCCCTGCTGGGGAATGGGGGGCTGCCTGCCACTTGTTGGAAGCTGTAACTAACGCATATAGGACCCTTGCCCTCAGTCTGGGACAGCAGGGAAAGCCCTTCTCACCATCCTGAAACAGAGGCGGTTCCCCGTAAGAATTCTGCCCCGTCTCTCCCACTTAAGAAATGCAAATGAAAGTGGCATTTTTAAAATACTTATAATTTATTTTTTAAGTGAATCATTCATGAGCTTCTATATTTTAACTCTTACTAGTAGCAGAATTACTTACAATGCCGCCTCACCAGATTTGACAATTTCATAAACAGGGAGGAAGTTGCCAAGTCTATACAATTAAATAAAGTGGTAGGTAGGGGAAAAACAATTCTACTTAGTATATTAACAATGGTGATTTGCCACTTAAAGATATTAAAACTACCATTACTCCCTTTTATCATCACCATTATTTCATAAAAGAAGGACCTTTTCGTAAAGAAGTAAGAACAGTCTCAGGATGTTTAAGGACTCAGGAAAAAATAGGTCAATCTGTGAAGTGGGGTTTAGCTTTATGGAGAAAAGCAATGAACTGTTTGTTTCTACTTCTTCATTTCACTGTGAACCAATGCAAACCACCTAAAAGCAATGTTCTGAGGACAGGTGGTTGAGAGTGCTTTTCTAGGCCCTTCAGTTCTCTGTCCTCAGCCTAGGATAGATTGGGAACTTTGCTTTAAAAACTGACACTCATCCCAGAGCATTGCCAACCCTCACACAGGAGATCAGAGGGCCCTGAAACCCTCTCCCAGATCAGTCCGAGACCACCCTGCAGTTTCTGGGATGACCTAGTGTAAGAGCAGTGTGCTCGGCTAGTACTCACCCCAACCGCATCTCATACACATGTGGGTCTTCCCTTTGACTTTGGGCTCTGAAGCATCAAAGCTTCCCAATGAACATGCGAGGGCTTATCCCCAGATTTAAAGGGAACCAAAAAATGTCAGTCTAGACACAGTTTCTTAACAAATAGCAGCATACAGTCTATGAGTCAACATCCTCATTTTCACTAGTTTGATTTTGGATATAGGAGGAGGGAGGGTAGGGAGGAAATGTTTTTACTTCAGCCCTGACACCAGCAACCAGATTTTCATTTGTCAGTACAATGTTGACAGCTGATTTTCACAATGGAAAGGCTTTCTGATTTATAATCAGACTCCAGCTAAGCCATCCATTCCCGGACCTTTTAAAATGATCTTGTAAATTACAGCAGCAAGGAGGAGAGGTCGAGCTGGCTCCCTTTAAAAACACCAGCGGGAAACAAAGATTTCAGGAAGGATTTGTGCTTCCTTCAGTGGCAGTTAGGAGAAATATGGATTAAATACCTACCGTAACTAGCAGCTGTAATTATCAAGGAAATTTGAGGCAGTGTGATTTCTGACACAGCTGTGTGAGCCATTTTCACACCGCAAAGTCCACTGAGGGAAAGAAAAGAGATAATTTTTTCCTTCCAATAACTATAATTTTATATTAGTAAATTAGATATACAATTGGTAGTTGAAATGCTTCCAGGAGTCTTTGTTTAGAAATACCTTTATTCATCTATATATTATCTCAGAGCCTTGCTTTTCTAACTACTATCATTCCAGGAGACAGAGTGTTCTGTTTGCCATGTTACCATTCCTGTCTCCAGAATGTGCTATTATTGAATGCATGTTGAGTGCTGTTACAAATAGCAAGACCATAACTTAGCCTGACAAAACCATCATTGGAATTAGATGCCATTATTTGACTGAGACTTTCATTTGCCCTTCAATAATGTCCAATGTTTGTCTTTTTGATTCAGGCATCATATCAACATTTCTTCATGTCCATCCGTTCGGAGCCAATATAGAGTATCTTTGGTCATACATGCAGCAGCTGGATTCCAAGGTAAATTCTTTTTTCTCAAGCAGACTTGCATTGCTGAAATTTAACCGTTTGATTTCTGGCTGCGGTTGGCCCCTGCAACAGCTGCAACTGGGGGATATCATAGCGTATGGAGGTTTATCAGTACTTCTACACAAGGGGCTCTGTCTTTGGCAGACCACTGATTCCTTTCACTTGCTTTTGTCTTTGTAGAAAGAAAAGCAGTTAAGTAAAATGGCAGTGACTTTCAGCAGATCTGTGAAAAGCGTCTGAAAGATTTAAATTTCTAGGTTGGCCTGAAAGTTCCCAAGACAAGGGAGAAATCAGGTCAGGGTAGCTGATGCGGCAGCGTCTTAGACCATATTCTCACAGGATTCCATGTAAAGAACTCCACACAACAGAGGAAAAAATCACCTGAAATTACATAAAGATCCGATATGACTCTCAAGAAAATGGTATTAGTGGTTGTTTTTCAGCATTATTCTCTAAATGGAAAAAATGACTACGAAGTCATTGTCAGCTGTGCCCCACAAGGGTCACACCCCAAAATGAGAACATCACTCCTCATTTCTCTGAGGCTCAGTCCTTCTCACTGCACATTTGCTAATGCTCCTGACCGACTGCAGTGTTTGGGGACTGAAAAAGAAGGACAAGAAGAGAGCTCAATTTATGTGCTGAATTTCAGTGACAGTGAGAGGGGCCCCTGGTGAAACAAAGTGATGTCCTTACCCTATCCTGCCTGGAGAAGCCCTGAAGGGGGTGGACACAGAGAATCTAAGCCTGTCACTGAGTAGCTTGTCAAATGTCCTTCTGGGAAGGAAAATGGACATGAGCCCTTCCATAGAGCACACAGCAAAGTGCATGGGATTGGTAGGACCACGCCCACAGCCCACAGTTCTCTGACCCTGAGTACACACATACACGTCCTTCTAAATTTCCTATCGCCAATATTGATTATATTATTACATGTGTTCTCAATTCCAATGATCCTACCAAATCATGAATCTCACAACTGCCTGATCTCCCTAATGGGCTTTATACGTCGACTTTGAGAGCAATTATCAGGAATAGGAAGTATTTTTCAGTCATAGAGACTCACGCCCTTTTATTCTCCCACAGCTGGTGATAGGGTGGACCACACCAGAGCAAAAGGGAGTGAGATTATAGGATTCCTGAGGTTCAGACTCATGTTATTGTCTTCTCTCTGTGACCTCCCTTCACACTGATAGGAAGGAACAGAAAATGCTTATGGAGTATTTCTCTTTTTCCTTCACCACTGTCATTCTTCCTTAGGATCCCCACTACCTTTGCCTGGAGGGTTAAATGAAATGCTGCTTGCACCAATATGCCTGGCATAGAATAAACCCTCAAGAAATTATCCCAGTTGTTGCTGTTATCCTTCCCTTGTACTGTTGACATTTCCTTCCCTTTCTGGAACTCCCAAGTGGGAAGCTGTTGTTGAGAAGCAGTTGTTATTTTAGTATGAGCCAAAATAGCCAAGGAATCCATCTGCTATTTATCTAAGAATTTCAGGGCTCGTGTCTCTTCCGCTGTATCACTGTAGGCTGCTGATGTGTGCATCTATGAAACTGTGTGTGTTACACCTGTGTGTGGGGGGGAGGGGCGTTAGATCACCTGTCGAGGGTAAATAATGAATTATTTTGGTGGGGTAGAAGCTCTTGTTCTATTCTTAACCTCAGGACAGAGTATCCATCATCCATTTGCTCAGGTGAGGTTTGGATGGTCTCCCTGGGATGTCTCTGTGGAAAGAATTCATGCACATGGTCTCTGGCCATTAGATGATGGGCCTTTTCAGAGGGGATTCAGTTAATGGGAATTCCATTTCATCTCAGACTGGTGCTTTTATTCTAGAAGATAATGAAGAAAGTATTTAGGAAATACACAGGGTCTCCCCCAGATGGCCTTCTATCTCCTGAATGAAATGCTCAGTAGAGCTGTCAAATTTTTTCCTCATGCCTGAGGTAAAAATTGTATCAAAAAAGGGCCTTAAAACTCCTGGGTGCCAGGGATTAGACCGAATATTTTCTCTATCCCAGGGAGGCTGAAAGGATATTTAGACTTATTAATCCAGAGAAAAAATTATTTCTGTGTACTGGAACTCCATACCTCAGGGCTTTAAGCAGAAAACAAAATAATGAGTGGTTTGCCCTCTAAGTATCCACCAGGGCCTTGTCCCTGCATCAGCTGCCAAAAGGCTCATAACCCTGGAGCCACCAGCACGCTGATGCTGAGGCTCTCTTGTGCAGCGGCCTGGCGTGCCTGCCTCTGGTTAGTCAGGATCAACTGAGTGCCACCAGACCGCCACCCTGGATATTTGGTTAATGACACATTACGACAGCGTATTGAGCCTAACCTCCATAATACAGGGGGGTTGCTGACTCTAGGAGGATGGCTTTTTAAAAATTCCACCTAGAACAACAGTTTCCTTGACATCAGGCAATATCACTGTTACCATAATTGTTGTACAGTGATACTTAGGTTCTGCCTCCCCCAGTGCTGACAAGAGCAAGGAAAGCAGTCTCAGTCCTGCCTGTAGCAGAACTGGTTTTATTAGCAGAACTCCCAGAGGCCACATATGGACATAAGAATTATTAGAAATGAAAGGGGAGACAGGAATTAATTTAAATTATGCTGGGCAGGTAAACTGCACATCGCTCCCTAAAACTGTGTAGTCTGATAATAGGCCACTTTCCGGTTAAATATTATTCCTGCTCTTGATAATTATATTTACATATTTTTCTCTTCTCAGCCTCTTCTAGACTCATATTCCTTCACTCAGCTCTCATTATCAGAACATGACCATATGACCAAGGCAGATTCATTCAGAGGAACACAGGCATTACTCCGGGGAAGGGAAATCCCAGGGCAAAATACCTTTGAAACCAAAATCAGTCAAAGGGAGAAATCAAGTTTAAAACCCGTTTTTTGCTCACAAGCAGTCGTCCTGCATCACTCTCTCCTGCTGCAGCAAAAGTGAGCGAATTCTTCCCCCACAACCTCTCAGGTCCAGTTGAGCCCTCACTCGCCTACGTAATTGTCCATTGATATGGAGATGGTACTTCTCTCCACCCCTCAGAAACACCTGTTGATACGGCGATGCACTAAAGCCAGGTGAGAGATTCTGGAAATATTGCAATTTTACCCACAACTGGGCAAGAGCAGTGGAGGGAGACGGCTTCCTGAAGCTTTGCTGAGTCAATTTCATGCCCTGGGTGCAAGCGGGTAAACTCTTCAAAATAGGCGACACTACTTGAAAATGGTTTCTGATCAATACATAGAACCCCCCACATCAGCTCAGCGTCCTTCCAGCCCACTTGCTAATCCTAAACAGCAAGGAAGTCCCATTGGAGCTAAGCATTAGTAAATGAGTATTTTCTGTCTTACAGTCAAGAGGAGGAGATTCTCCTGCTCACCCCCCAGCTTAGGTATTCTTTAGGAGGTAAGATGCAGTTCTCCAAGTGTGCTTGCCCAGCCTCTCCCCAAGGCCCACCAAGTGGTAGGTTTGCTTCTGAAGACCAGACTCAGCATGTGCCGTGGGCACTGGAGGATTCAGGAAGAGCTGCCTTTCTGGCATGATGCCACTGTTAACTGACAGGCATGGGTGCTCATGGACACCCACCTGAGGGACAAACCATTTGCATGTCTATACTAAAAACATCCTCTGGAAACATGAAATTAAAGTATCTTGTTAATTCCAAGGAGATTCAAATCAGACTTAATTGGAGAGCATTATTTCCCAGACTGTAGCTAGCCAGGAAGGGTAGATGAAGTGATCTGAATAGTATCTGTAAGATATCCCCCAACCCCAAATAATCTTTACTATTATGTCTGTTCTCTTAAGTAGCTACCTGTCACAGTATGTTAATGAGTGAATGAGTTTTCTGTTGCTTAGACAGGCTGTAATAAATGTGTTGTTTAGATATCACAAACGCCTCTGGAAAGCATATGATTAATGAGGTTTTAGAGCTAACAATACTTCCGTTTGGCTACATAAAGAATAAAAAGAAAGTTGCTTACCCACAGCATGAGAAATTAACAAGGTTTGCCAGGGACCCCGAATGCTCAGATAACATCCTGCTTTTCAGGGACCCAGTGCAGTCTTAGCCAGGACCAGGGAAGAATGGGGGATGGCCAGGGCACAAAAGAAATCTAAGAAAGAAACATGCTCTTAAAAAGCTTGTAATCGAATTTAGGAAGTGGTTTAGTACCTATGAAATAGCTTGGCATGTCAGACATAAACTAACAGAGTGCTGACCTGGGCAGGCAGGTGTTCGGTGAAGAGGAGCTAGAGAAGAGCGGAATCTGAGTGGCAGTTGGCAGGGGGCAGCCTCGCATCCCTGCGGGTTCTGGCAGTGTCCCTGCGGGCTCTGGCCGCATCCCTCCTTGGGCGCTTCACTAATGCTGCCGCACTTCTTGCTTTCTCTTTCGCCCCTTCCTTCCTTCACTCCCTTCTGTCATTTTCCATCCGCCTCCTTCCTTGTCTCCTTCTAATTCTTTCATTTATTTTCTTCCTTCTTGCCTTTTATTTTCCTCCTCCCTCCTCCCGGTTCCTCGTCCTTCCAGCTCTTCCCTCTCTTCCTAATTCCTCACTTCTGCTCATTTTTCTTGTTCCTCCTTGACTTCATCTCATCCTCCCCTTCTCTTCCCACCAATATCCTGGGTTTCTCTCTGCAAATGCTTGTTGCAAGATGTCTGTGTGCTGATGCCATGCCTTCCCAAGGATATGAAGAAAGAACGAGATTTAAATGTGCTCTTAAGGCTAACAGTCGGTTTAGCCTGTGAAAAAAATGTGGATTCACACCGGGCTCCGCTAACTCTACAGCCTGACAAAGACTGTGCCCCCAAGAAGAGCCCTTAGCACCCACTTCCCTCGCCTGACTGATACGGGACATGAAGCCAACCATCCCCATGATAAAACTGATTTATGTCTGCTTGTGTCAATTTATATATGTGCTTAGAGGCCTGGCAAGGAAGTAGTGGGCTTGGGCTAGAGTCAGCAAATCAGAAAATAAATCAAGCAGATCTTAAAAATTACCTCTGCAGTATTACTACCACACAAACCCCTTGGTTATACAGAGCCTTTATTCCTTCTTATATTTTTTTCTTTTTTTTTTAATTAAAGCAAATCAATCTTTTCTAAAATAATAAATGTTAAAAAGTTAAAAAAACACCAGAGGTGGAGGGGATCCACTAACAACATCAAAGATTGAAAATATGCAGATTAGCAGTTCCTTAGAACAGAAGCCAGCTGGGTAAGAGGGCGATGAGAGCATCCTGTCCACAACAGCCATCCCCGCCTTCCAGAGCACCACGTACAAGCTGTGTGGTAAAATGAGATTTCATAGTCAAGGCATGCGTCTCTAATTACATCGTAATGCCACACAGAATTCTCTTAACCGCATGTATTTGATTATCCCCTTAGTATCTGGGTGCAGGAACGCAGTGTTGTGAAAGCAGGACTGGATTCAGCACCAAAAGCCTTGCCCCCAGTTCTAGCCCTCCACCTGACTGAGCAGGCAACACCCTTTCCAGGCCCCAGTGTTCTGTCAATGACACACAGGGACCTAGCGAGTATCTGACCTCAGAAGGGATTCGGGTAAGGGAACCCTGCACAGCTAATGAAAATGGCTGCACATCGCTCTGAGCTCAGTCAATGACATCTGGGTGCTTTGTTTTATGTGATGACCCCATGACTCTCTGTCATGACCAAGAAATTCAAGAGCAAAAAATTATTGTTAGGAAGATAAAGGATATTTTGAAGGCAAAATTACAATAGCTGACAAATCATTTATAAGAAGAAGAAGAAAACAGAAGTAAATGAAGATATTTGTAAAGTAAAAATTCTTTGACCATAGGATAAGAAAGTACAAATTGAATTTTCTCTTGAATTTGTCTTAAAACAATCCTAAAATATAATTTGTCATATGGGTTATTTTGCCACAATAAGAAAAAGGTTTTAAAAACATCAAATTAACTTGAAAGCAGTTTCTTCTTGACCTTTCTTCCAGCATGAGATATAAACATCCTGAAGGAAATATTCTAGAATTTAGCTGAGAGCCTTAGTAAGTGGATATTTTAGATAGGATTTCTTTTGAGGTGGTCTGTTCCATAATTGTGACATACTCTTGTCCACATTATCTACACATATATGACAGAATCACACCATTTCAGTAACTTAGAGTTAACTATAGCCAAGAATACTCATTTTTAAAATACTCATTATACCAATTTCTAGCTTTGTCAAAATCTGAGGTATGACTAATTGGTTATCTAAACCAAGTAATCATGAGAATTTCAAATCCTAGTTTTACTACTTCTTGGCTGTGTGACCTTGGGTAACTTATTCACGATCTCTCTGTTTCCTTTTCACCCTCTGTAAAATGATTTTTTATGGGTTATAATGTGTATTAAATTACTTAATATAGGAAAAGCATTCAGAATAGTATCTTGCACATAGTGAGTGCTACTAAGTATTGGTTGCCATTTTTATTTTTAAGCTTTAAAGTGCACAAAAGACCTATCAGATTCTCTCAGTTTGAGATCTTTGCCACAAACCAGTGAACAGGTGAATTTCAAATGGTTTGCCCAAAGGTGCTGAACCGAAGTCCTCAGAGCACTCAGTTTCTTTCCAATCCCCTTGCCCTGCAAATGAGAAAACACCCAAAGAGATTAAGTGATTTAGACAAGATAGTGAAGCTAGTGGTCATTCCATAACTAGAATCCAAATCTTTTGTTTCAAGCTTTCTTCCAGCAAGCAAGAAGCTGTTGCTCCTTTTAATGAGCTTTCTGATGAGCTCAGGCACAGAAAGCCTGTCCTCTGTGCCTGGCCCGAGTGAGGATTCCGGAAGTGGCGGCTCTCTCTCCCCTCCTACATGCAGCCTTCTGCTCCTCTGTGGTTGTAGTCTAGGCTCCATGGAAAAAAAGATTCCCTGTGATCTGCTTACCATTTGGTGAATGGCTCACGTGGAGGTGCCAATGCATCAGCATTTGAATGAGTACAGGCTGGTTGAGTTGGGAGTTTTCCACTTTTGCTGTTAATGTTGACAGCACTCTGAAGCTGCATTCATCACAGAGACGCCTGCCCTGCTGTGCATGAGCCCCTCTTCCCCCATAGTCACTGCCCAGGAGCAGAGAGGCAGCGACCGAGAGGATTATTTCCAGTTCTCACTCCGCAGTCCCCCACCACCTGTAGTAGTTGCTTAAGAACAAGGCTAAGAACCTGGATCTGCACCCCAGCTCCACACTTACTGCCTGGGTTACCCTGCGTGAGGTATCTAATCTTTCTGGACCTTACTTTCCTCATTTGTAAATTCCCTATCTAATGTGAAAATTAAAGAAAGTGATTTCAAGAGTCTGTCAAGGAAAGGGTTCTCAGTGTGTGTGAGTTATCACACTTCCTACAATCAGCTGCAGGGCTGCTGGGTGGCACTGCCCGCCCTGACCCCATGGCCACCACAGAAGCTACCTTTAGATCAGATCTCTCTTTTACTAACCTCAAGAATTCAGCTTTTGCTCTCCTTCCTAATGAACAGCACAAGGCTTCTTCCCTACTTTTCCAAGGTGACAGTTACCCTGGAAACAAGCCTGTGGTGAGCTGGCTGGTACCTCAGTCAGTCAGCTTCTCTGTGGCCTCTGCTTGATCTGGGGAAGGACCTCATCTCAGGGGTGTCACTTGAATTTGGACTGGAACCTACCATAGATTACCTGTGCTGTCCTCAGCCGAAGGGATGTCTTAAAGAGGACAACGTTGTCGTACTCAGTGTTGCCTAGTATATACACAGAGGAAATGCATACTTGTGCCAGGCAGTGTGTTACGTTTTATGTATAATCCTCACAGTTACACTCTTAGTGTAATTTCTATGATGCTATTTCTATGATGAAGAAACAGAATGACAGCTACTAAACGACTTGCCCAAGGTCACATAGCTCAGCCTTGCCCAGATTAAACTCCAAGCCTCTCTTATTTAAATCCCCATTCTTAACCCAAATATGCGTGATCATAAGATTTACCTGGGGTGATTGTTAAATAGATTATGTGAGCTACACCCCACATTGACTGAATCAGTTTCTCGAAAAGCTGGGGAATGTGTTTCTTTAACAAGTACCCCAGGTAACTGATATTTAGAAAGAAAGCACTACACCCCTGATTCTTCACCCACATTTATGGGGAGCACTAAAGCACACCAATTCCCAGGTCCCAAACCACATGTGGTAGCCTCTTTCCCAGTTAGAGCTTTGATAAGGCACTTAACCCTCTGTAGTTCAGTTTCTCAGCTATAAAATGCAGGTAGATCATAATATTCGCCCCCACTCCCACCCCCCATATAGCTCATAGGAATGTTGTAAGAACAAAATGAAGGTGCTGGTAATGGTGTTTTACACAATGTCACTAAAATAAAATGCTTCAAAATCACCATGAACCTTTTAATAATATGTTTAATAGGCTTTGTGGGTTGACCTGAAAAATCTAAGAATCTTTTTAATATGGCTTTATGGGAAAATGCATTCAGATTTCAAAATAATTCACTAAAAAATTTTAGGATACAATTTATTTCAGCTTTCAGGACTGCCTCTATTTAAAGCTTAGTATTATAGGCCTAGGAATATTGAATATGTCATGTGAAATCTTTTCCATGTGAACATTGAATGAACAATTGATTTGACTTCCACATCAACTTGGTCTTTTTTTAAGATGAACCTTAATACTGTTAAATAGAAAAGTGTAGACTCTAAAATGATCTATACAGTGATCATGCCATGAAAAATAATAGGTCTGATTCATTGAACATTTCTATGTGCCCAAATCTTTGTTAAGCCAGTGGTTTTCACACATCCTTATTAAATGTTATTCCCAACTGCTGAGGCTTAGAGAGACTAAATAAGACTTGGTAGAACTCATTTTGCTCATAACAATAGTAGATACAGGATTCAAACAGAAATGTTAGACCCTCAGTTCTGGGGTCTCAGCCGCCTTGCTCTGAGATCCCCACGTACATGCATGCATAAGGATGCAGACACAGGAAAACAAGAGCAATGGCTATGTTAGAGCAGAGGGATTATGGTTGATTTGTTCTTTATTTACAATAAAATGAATTATTGGTATAAAAAATGTATGTTATAAAGAAAAATTGGTAGAAGAAAATAATTTCATTAAAAAATATCTTTCTGCATTTTATGACTGAATGTGGGGACTTTTTTTGCTGTAGGTTTTGAGTTTCGTTTCTGTTCCTAAACAGAAACACAAGTCTTCTGGTCCCTGTGAAAATCAAGTTAAAGGAAGAGAAATAAGTTAGGGTGCCAGAAATCCACCCACATGCCCCCTGGCCTTGTTGAGTAACAAAGCAGTGCTGCCCTTTGTAGGCGAAGGTGAAGGTACCAGGAGCTGTCCAGGAGAGGTGATGCATTTGCTCTGAGCCCTCTTCAGCCCCACTGCTATCTCCTCCTAAGTCACGCGGGGGCTGCCGAGGCGCAGCGCTGCCAGTATGGTCGTTATCCATAGGAAGCGTAAACCTGGAGCTTTCCTCCCAGTTGCCTCCTGCCCCGCCCCTGCCAGCTGCTCAGCGGAGAACGAAGATAATCACATTCAGTGCTTTACCGGTGCTCCCTTACAAGGGCATTGCTTGACAGCCAAATAGAAAAAATTTCATGTTGCTTGTCTCCCTGGCAAAGTACATCATTACCCAACCCTTTGCCTTCTTTAGGATGAGTTCCTTTCCCCGAAGTGACTTTTCTTCCTTTCTAACAGATATCTGCAAACGAAATCGAAATGCTTTTGATGAGGCTGCCACGCATGTTTAAACAGGAATTCACAGGTGTGGGAGCAACACTGGAAAAAAGGTGGAAGTTGTGTGCCTTTGAAGGAATTAAAACTACCTAACCGAAGAGCAAAAACATCTCTGGAAATGTAACTGCCTGAAGCCAGCCAGGGCCGTGCAGTGAGTGCGGGGCGTGGGGTTGGTCTGGCGCAGACCTCCATGGAGCCATCAGAGCCTGACTTTAGTTACATCTGTGGTGTTCTCTTGTGAGTGGAAATGTAATTGTGCACCAGTTCCCCAACACAAGCAAAGCTTCATACTGTGACAGATTTGTGTCCTCTGAAAACCAAACAATGCTTCCACAGCCATAATGATGGCAAAATCTTCAAACATGCTACATTTGAGAATAGCTCACCAAGCAAAATATTTAAAGTTAATGATGGTATAGCAATGGTTGTTGCTAGGCTACAGACTTGTACATGTAATGTATAGCTGAAATCATCCGATGACATTTTCCTGAAAGTCTACCTTTCTGTTTTAGTAAAAAACAAAAAAACAAACAAACAAACAAAAAAAAAACAAAGTGATTTTACAGTGAGAAAAAAATCATACCAAAAGAAAACTTGAATATGTGTCTGAACATTTATTGTATTTTGTAAATTAAGTTATATTCTGTTCCAGGGACTTTTGCCTTATTGCAGAGGCAGAAGATGTGATTGGACTCCTTGAGAATGCTTTATCAAGAACATTATTTTTCTAACGTAACACTTCTCCATCACAAGTTCTTTTAACATGGACTGCATAACAATTTTCACAAAATTAAATGAGGAAAAGCTAGTGTTACCGTATTGTATTTGGTATGTAATATTCAGGTTTATGCCTCAAAGTAAGCATTCAGTAAATATTCCTGTTACAAATTTTATAGCAAAGATGTTAATTTTTTTCAATAAATATGACTTCTACCATATTGCTTTTGCAAATTATTTTTGATATATTTTAATTCACCCTTCTAAAGAAATCTTTTTCGCATTATTCAGTCCTATCTCACATCCCTTTGTTTCTAAATGATTGTAAGCATGAGTGACACTGAGACAAAACACAAACCAGAATATATAAAAACTGGAGGAGAAAGCACTAAGGAAAGGAGATTATGCATTGTTTTAAAATACCAAGACTCAGCGTCCAAATATAATCGACATAAATTATACCTTTGTTTTGTGTCCTTATAGCAAGTACAAAGTGGCCAATTAGTTAATGTTATTAATCCCTGCATTTATTTATTTGCATGTTTGCTGGAAAACATACAAGTTAGAAAGGAATTAAAGAATTCAGTTGTGCTAGCAATTCTCTAGAACTGGGGCTTCCACTCTTTTAATTACAAGTAGAATAGAGCTTTAAACTGTATCTCCTTCTGATTTCTTGTACAAGAATCACACAAAAAAAACAAACACATTATTAATTTTAAATGCAACATGTTTTCGGAAGACAGATGAACAGTGACTGTTCTTCAAAATTCTGAAAAGATGCTCATAATTGCCTGTTGGACGTCACCGTCCTCAGGATCTTTTTTTGGATCCTGACAAATCAAGGTGCTTATTCATGCCTTCCATAAATACCTACACATATGTTATGTTCAGGCTCAGGGCTAATGCTGTCAATATGAGATGACTAAGAAAAGGTCTTCTCCTTAATGAGCTCAGATTTCAGTGTGAAAAATTAACAAGGGTGCTATGGGATTCAAACTAAATATCAAGATGGTATTAAATGCTGAAACTCTAGAGGCCTTTCTGTTCCCATCTGTCAATGTCCAGTACCACCATCATCCAGACCCGTTTATCTCTGGGTCAGGAAACACAAATAAGGACATAACAGTCCAAAATGAGATGAATTCATTTACAGATATTACTGTTATAAAATAGAAAACCTAAGAGGTCACCTGAAAAATAATGAGAAGAAAAGATTTCCATTAAGTGGCTAGTTATAAAGACACAAAGTCTAGTAAGGACACAAGGTACCACATTCTAAAGTATTTCTAACTGAAAGTAAAGGAGATGTTTTCAAATGTGCATTCATACTTTCAAATATTGCCCATAGTCAGTTTAGCAGAGGATACACTACAAGGGCAAAACCCTTAGAGTTCTGAATAGGAAAAGGAATTGGAGAGACCTTAGATCTGACAACAGAACACCATTTTAGACCTAAATGGCAACTCAGAGGACTGAAACAGTCACTGCAGCCTCCAGAAATACTTGAGTAATTCCCAGAATAAGTTTCTGCATTAGAATAATCTATTTTGGCTGTGGTGTTTTTATTTATACTTGAAATTAATTATATTACTTGTCTAGAAGTATAGTAATTACATATTTTGACCTCAATTATATGAATAACTTATTTTTGCAGGAAAAAACTTCTAAATTATTTCACAGATATTCAGGCTCAGATGGGACTTCAGAGATCAGTTGGGGAACACGTACCTCTGAAGGCCATCTGGAGGCTACATGTGTCTTTTATCCCATCCTCTTTAATCCTTGGGATAACTATGCAAAGATACTATTATTGTCCTCCTTTATCACACAGAATGAGGCTCAGAAGTCCTAAGTATCTTGGCCAAGTTTACATAGTAAATTTTGAGACTTGAACAGGAGACTTAAACCCAGGGCCAGCTGACTCCAAAACTTGTTCTTTTTTTAACTGTGTCTTCTTCTAGTTCAGTCTATTCCCACCCCTGACCACAAGTCCAGTGCCAACCCACTGCCTTCAGATGGTTCCTTGTATTCTCCTCTTTCCCCACCATCCCTTGTATGTGGGTACAGGCGTGAAGACTCTGACCTTCCTCTCCTAAATCTTTCCAGTAACAAATCACGGTTCTTGGATTCTGAGAATAAGAAGAACATTGAAGGTTTGAAGACCCTCGTAACCCGGACCCAGTGGGTCTTTCTGGATTGTATCTTCACTGCTTTTCTGAATAGAACTAATATTTGTTGCTTTTCTGCTTGTGCTCATATCTTTCTATCCAAGTGCAATAACCTTATTCACATCTAGTTATCACAATTCTACACAGCCTTAAGAGGAAAATGCAAAGACTCCTCTCATGCGAAGCTTTTCTCCATCACCTAGCAGAAATCGTTTCTCCTACCTCTGCACAGCCACCCCACTTTGACTGCTTAAGGCACTTACTGTCTTTGCCTTATCTCCCTGTTAGATTCCATGCTCTTTATATTTAAAGACCTAAATATAAGACCCCAAAACATAAAATAACTAGAGGAAAACAAAGGCAGTAAACTCTTAAACATCACATCAGCATTACCTTCTTTTTTTCCAAATCTCTCTCTCCAGGCAAGGGAAACAAAAGCAAAAATAAACATGTGGGACTACATCAAACTAAAAAGCTTCTGCACAGCAAAGGACACCATCAACAAAATGAAAAGACAACTTACTGTATGGGAGAAGTTATTTATAAATGATATATCAAATAAAGGCCTAATATCCAAAATACATAAAGAACTATAGCTCAACACCAAAAAATAAATAATCTGATTTAAAAATGGGCAGAGGAACTGACTTAATGTTTTTCCAAGGAAGACATGTAGAAGACCAACAGACACATGGAAAGATGGCTCCATGTCACTAATTATCAGGGAAATGCAAATCAAAACCACAGTGAGATATCATCTCACACCAGCCAGAGTGACTAATGTCAACAAGACAAAAATAGTAAGTGTTGGCAAACAGGGAACCCTCATACACTGTTGGTGGGAAAGTAAATTGGTACAGCCACTGTGGAAAACAGTGTGGAAGTTTCTCAAAAAACTAAAAATAGAAAAACCATATGACCCAGCAATTCTACTTCTGGCAATGTACCTGAACAAAATCACTGATTCAAAAAGAATATAGGCACTCCTATGTTTATTGCAGCATTATTTACAATAGCCAAGAGATGGAAGCAACCGAAGTGTCCACTGATAGATGAATGGATAAAAATGTAGTACATTTACACAGTGAATTATTACTCAGCCATAAAAAAGAAAGAAATCTTGCCATTTGTGATAACATGGATGGACCCAAGAAGGTATCATTCTAAGTGAAATCAGATAGGGAAAGACATACTCCATATGATTTCCCTAATATGTGGAATCTAAAATATAAAACAAAACAGAACGAGACTCATAAACATGGAGAACAGACTGGTGGTTGCCAGAGGGTGGGGGGTGGAGGATTAGTGAAATAGATGAAGGGGGTAAAAGGGTACAAAATTTTAATTACAAAATAAGTCACAGGGATGAAAGTACAGCTTAGGCAATACAGTCAGTAAGATTACCATAACTTCATATGACAGATAGTAACTACACTTACCATGGTAAGCATTTAGTAATATATATAGTTGTTGAATCATTGTTGTACATCTGAAACTGATATAGTATTGTATATCAATTATATTTCAATTTTAAAAAAGATTATAAGCTCTTTGAAGGATCTGAGCATGTTTCATTTACTTTGAATTATTTCTCAAAGTAGTTTTGCTCACAGATTTTTAGAAAGCAGGATGGAGAATGAACCAAACGTCTTTCTGCCTCTAGGAACCAATATGCTTATGTATAAAGGGAAAAAAAATTTTAATGCTGCAAATATCTTAAATCCAAGGTTCCAAGGCAGAAAATGTGAGCGATGTAATGCATACTATTGAACTATAAAAAGCAACCCATTTCCTTCTCAAAGTTCAAACCCAGATCGATTATCAACTTTTCTATGAATCCCTGATCCCCTCAGGAACCTCCCTTATCCCCACTACTATTCATTATATTTCTATAACAGCCCTTAAACTGTATTTGCATCATTTGTGAATGTGGTCATCTCTCCCAGTCCTGAAGGCTGGAAAGCTTCCTTCTTCAGCCTTTTTGTCCCTTAGTCTGCTGTGACACACTATGACTTAAATAAATATTTACTGAATGAATGAACCAAATGAAATGAAAGAAGAGCCAACATAGGAACTTTCTGAATCAGTTCATCAGAACATATTTAGGTATTAAGTCCAGTAACAGAGGTTAGAACTTTCTGCCCCTGAGTTGTTAAGTTCTTGGCAGAATTCTTACCTTCACTGAAAAAAATGTTTTATTGTGGTAAAATATACATATTTTTCATTTTAGCTATAATTATACAATTCAGTGATATTAAATACACTCACAATGTTATGTAACCAACCATCACTGTAACTTTTTCACCATCATACTCAATAAAAACTTGAATATACTCATTAAATAATAACTCCATACCCCACACCTTCCAGCCCCTGGTTACCTCTATTCTACTTTGTGTCTCTTTGAATATGCCTGTCCGAGGTCTCTCATAGATGTGGGATCAGGCAGTATGTGTCCTTCTGTGTCTCACTTCACTTAGCATGTCTTCAAGGTACACCCATGCTGTGGCATGTGTCAGAACTTCACTCCTTTGTGAAGCTGAGTATCCCAGCGTGTGAAAACTCCTCCTGCTGGCTTAGGTATCCCTTACATTTTGCAGCAATGAAAAGTCAGTTGTTTATGTTTGAAAATACTTTAATATTTTTATTAAATGCCACATCCAAAACAACACTTGAAAGTGTAGAGAAGCTTATTTCTGCCTGGATAAACCTCTCTTTTTCACTGAGGGTGATAAAAATGAAATGACAAAAGTAAAAAAAAAAAAAATGGTAGTAACTGTGTAGAAAACGAGATTGTTTAAACAAATACCCTTGCAACAAATGTGATATGCAACAAGTTTTTTTCTTGACAAAAGTTAGAGATGCTTTACTTTGAGGTTGTTGTTTTTTTTAATCTTTTCTAAAAATAGCTGCTGTGTTTATTTGTTGTACTCAGTAAAAGATGTTTTATTCTAAAAACATAAGAATAATTTCACCATAATACTCAGTTCCTTCTCATAAGCAGAGAAAATAGAGATGTTAGATTCCTAAAATCTTATAGCTTGGCTCTCTTT